CATTGGATTGAGAGGAAGAACTAGTTTTTCTGCTAAGTGCATTTGCAACCACATTAGCTTTCCCCGGATGGTAGTCAATCTTATAATCATAATCCTTTATCAACTCCAACTATCTTCTTTGTCTCAAATTTAATTCCTTCTGATCAAAGATATACTTCAAACTCTTGTTATCCATAAATATCTGGCGTTTCTCACCATACAAATAATGCCTCCAAATTTTCAGTGCCAACACCACAGCATCTAACTTAAGGTCATGTATTGGGTAGTTTATCTCGTGCTTCTTCAATTGTCTTGAAGCATAAGATATAACCTTTCCATTTTGTATCAAAACACAACCCAAACCTAAGCATGAAGCATCACTGTACACTGTAAACTCTTCACCTAGTGAAGGAAGAGTAAGTACAGGAGCATAAGTCAATCTATTCTTCAATTCTTGAAAATTGTTCTCCCATTGCTCAGACCACACGAATTTAGAGTCCTTTCAAGTTAAATTGGTCAAGGGAAGCGCAATTTTGGAGAATCTCTCTATAAATCGACGGTAATAACCTGCTAGTCCAATGAAACTCCGTATCTATGTGACGTTAGTAGGGCGTTCCCATTTTATCACCTCCTCTGTTTTTACAGGATCTACAAATATACCTTCTGCAAAGATAAAATGACCCAAAAACACAACTTTATCTAGCCAAATTTTCGATCCTTCCGTTACTTCTCCTCCGCAATTATTGTTGCGGGCATTCTATCTATCCCCAACAAAGTATTATCAAAATCCAGTTGAGCAAAAACTGCTCGCATATTGATCTGCCGCAAAGAATAGCTACTGTTGCAATCTAAAAGCGAAATCTCAAATTTTACACTTGTTATCCTTGAAATAATCGACACTGTTCAAACCTCGCTTTAATAACCAATTTGGACCTCTTAAGAACCCCCAAAATCTAGGCTCCAATATCACTTGTTATGGACTAACTAAAATACAAGAATCGCTCTAATACCACTTTGTTGAGAATTCAACCAAATAATTAAAGATGAAAATAATATGAGCAATATGAAAAATAATGGATCACACAACAACCAAGATTTTTGCGGAAGAAGAAGATAATTTATTATACCAAAAAATTAAAATTGTCTTTACAAAATTTAATTTTCTTATTTTAAATCTAAATAAATCTCTCAAATTTCTAATGTATACAACAATGATCTAATTGTTATCTTGAATCTTTAAAGAGCTTATCTTTAAAGAGTATTTACAAGAGCCAAATATTGGAGTTATGGATGAAGTAAAGTCCTTAATCCGAAAGTTTTTATCCATTCCAAATTCCGTATCCCATTCAAATTTTCAATCTATGATGAAATTTAATCTCTTATGAAATCGGAGTTCTAAACCAAAATTATCTAAACTCCCTCCATGAATTAAACTTCCAAATCACATGGAATTTGAGTCACAAACATAACACAGTCAATGGAGTTTGTTAAAATTTTCAAAATGGGCATTGAAATGATGGGGAAATTATTGAAAATAACCTAAATTCAACCATAACCTTTCCAAAATAACCCTTTTTACTATTCAACCATATAAACCACCTAAAATACCCTTAACATAAAAGGTTTCAA